TATATATATATATATATACTGGATGATAGTTGGGAGTGGGGAGTGGTGGCTTAGTGGTAATGGCGTTGCACTTGGCCTGCAGAGGTTCTGAGTTCAAGCCCCAGTTCTGCAGACTTCCACTCTGGCTCCCTGAGCAAGACCCTTAAACCAACACTGCTCCCCAGGTGCTGCATAGTGGCAGCCCACTGCTCCACAATGGCATACGTTAAATGCAGAAGTGAGTTTCTCCAGTGTGAGATTAATACATTTCAATTATTATTATTACTTTTTGATCATTTAAGCCGTTTTTCTAAACAAAGCTTAGTGTCCTATGTTGTATTTGTTAGTGCACTATAAATATCTATAGGTTCTCTTTTAGAAACTTTAATTTCTGGATCTTAAACGTTATTTTTTAGAGCCTAATGCTAGTTCACTAAAAGCTCCTTAAAATGTGGCAAAAATCTGTCAGAAATATTTGGAAAATATCCTTATAATTGAATATTTTGCAAAGTTTATTTGTTCATCTTTTAATTTACCCCATAGGTTTAGGAAAGGTACATGATATATGTTGAAATTCTATTTTGGTTTTAAAAAGACATTTTATTAATGCAGTTTCTTGTTATTGTTTTTAATATTTGTTTCCTGAAGCAACATTTTGACTGGCATTGATAGTCTAAAAAAAATCTACCATTCTATAAACATTGTTTATTCAAATTGTTGGATAAGCTAAATATTTGCTCTAAAATGGCTGATTATTAACAAATAGAATCATACTTTTAATTCTAACAAAAGCAGCAGTAGTAATAAAAACGTTATCTTTGACTTTTTTCCCATTTTCCTTTCTCATCCTATTTGATATTTGTCTTGGGATTGATATTTTTAAAATCTTATTAGTCATTGCAGCTAAGAGAGCAAAATTATTCTGTTAGTTGTATCTTTTTCTTTTCAAACTCTGTATGTTTATTACCTTTCCTTTGGTCCTCTGAGATCATTAATGCTGAGTGCAGATATTGAGTGCACTCTAGCTCTTCTAATTCTATTAGTTGTCAGCCTCAATCTTCTTGTTTCTGAAGGTTGCAAAGGTCTGTTGTCCTCCCTTTCGTAGCTCAAGCTGTTATTTCATCTCTCTCGTCAAATGTTGTGTCCTACTCATGTTTCACTGGTGAGATTTTACCTTTATGCATAATTTCTTATGTATCTGGGTTTATTTACATGATT